TTTAAAGCACCTCTCATTGTGTTGACAAATGCTTCCTTACCCTCTAGAGGTTGCGAATTGCCGCCCTCAACTTCATGCTCCCCTACTAGCGGCTAAGACACGTCACCTTCCTCATCATTCTCATCCAAACCCGCTTTAAATGCACCGCGAGCACGCCTACTAGCTAACGCTTCGTAGTAGAGCTCATAGTTCTTAAGGGGATACTTGCTTGCACGCTTCACCCACTTGTGTGTCTATTGAACACATAACAACCACATTTGAGCATATGATTAACAATGGAAAACCACCCAACCTTGAAGGCAAATGAAAAAGGACATCTATTCCATACTTGTACAAGTACGAAAAAATATGAGATTGCCCAATAAATATATAAATATATATATATATATATCTTTATATGTATGCATATATATACATAAATCTTTTCATGTCTGACTACTTTACACAAACAAATTCATCAACAAAGGTTATTGTCATGTCTAATATCTGCCAACCACAAATTGTCTCTAACCAATTAGCAATCTCTTGTAGTTTAAACTGAAAAAAAAAGAAAAAAAAAGGAGAGAAATATTCTTCTTTTAGCTTTGCAGCCTTCCAAATATTTCAAAGGAATTCGTTCCCAATCTTGCATTATATGTAAGAACCAAAGCATATAAAAATGCTCCCCATCACAATTTCGGAGCTCTGAATAAAGTTTAGTTTCTTTTTTTGCCAAGTCTAGAAATGAGCAATATTAGGAAAAGCATATAACCTCGCAGAAATCATTCCGTCATGAAAGAAAAAACATATAACAAATGAAATTATGGAGTAAGTATGCCATATACTAACCTTACAGAAATTATTCCAATACTCGTCAGTGCAAGTTGGGGTATTCTTGATTGGATCCCATCCTAGTCCAGTGTTTGTGCAGAAGGCGAGCTCCGCGTTAAATTTTTTCTTCAGTCATTCCTTTGCCTCGTTAACGCGCCCTAGAGGAATAGGTGATGAAAAAAGTGGGGACAAATCTTTCGCCCATTGTTCCCAACCCGCCGATTCAGGTTGACGGCCCCTGTTGTTTTTGTTGTAGTCCGCAAGTTGCTTCAAAATCGTAGTTTTTTGTTTCTTAGACCAATAGAAGGTCACGTCATCCTCACTCCGTCGTGAAATCTAATACATACAACCAAGACCACCAACCACGAGAACAAAGAGACATATGCCACGACAAAGAAGAATGGATGTTTAAAGCAAAACATGTCAGCTCATTTGAGAACAAAGAAGAAAGAGGATTAAAGTACATAACCGTTTGATTGGCTCAGATTTGGTTATACTTGTATCATCACAGTTTCAAAGCATTATCCTCCTGGGATGTCACTTATGCTACCAAACCACATAGTAATAGGCCAGGGATTTAAAAGCATAGGTCATAATGCAATAACAAACGACAACATATGACATTCAATCCAAACAAACCTCATTACATGCAGTAGCAACTGACAATTGCCATACACTAAGAGGATATCGCTACAACGAAACTGATATGCCAAAAAAATCATCACTGCCAAAGTACTAAATCCAATAAGAACAAAGAGTTCATCTGCACAACATATATGTACAAATGGAGTAATATTAGCACCGGTGACATGGTATGAGCATTATTGGAATATTCAGCAAGCCGTATCTAATATGTCTAACAGATATGCATGTATATCTCCATAGTCGGTCAACTGATAAAAGTGAAGGAAGAGATATGGTTGCACAGATTCATTGCTTTACCGATATACCTTAGGGAACAACATCAAACTATCATTGTCATGGGAAACTAACTCGCTTTGTTTTTTTCTTTTTATCCAAACACAGGAGTTCACAAAAAGAGAATTCTAATTTCAAGCTCAGTACCATTTTTTTCCTCTTACCAAAGTAGACTTCACCAGTTTGTATTTTCTTTTCTTTATCGAAGAACATCACTTATAGTTTAACATTGATTTATCTTCTGCCTTACATTTCAGTTTTCTTCCGAGTCCATAGTATGTTTATATAGATAGGTAAAAATATGAACCATGCAAATCAATGTTACAAAGATGTTCAATTTTGTGGTTACGGAAGATTGTGTTGTAGGTTAGATATAGCAACATTAACACCGAAAACAACAACGAACATGGCTGGAAACCAATTCTTAAGGGATCTAGTCGATTAATGTATTATGCAACTAGTTCTCGCTACAAATCGTTTCAACGGAAGAATTGTGGATGAAAATAGAAAAACAAAGAGAAAGGGTCTGCAAATTTACCGAGTTGGATCCGGTGGATGAATGTGGGTGCTCTTCTAGCAAAAACCCCAATTTAGATGACGATGCCCTACCAAAATTTCTCCGCCACCGACACCACTACGGAAAAAACTCAACTGATTACGGCAGTGCAGAGGATTACGTCGCCGGTTGCGGGTACATCTACCCAAAAGAACTGCTAACGGCGGTCGTCGAGGACTGCGTTTCCTAGCTATTTTTGCCGTTTTGGGTAGAAGGAAGAAGCCAGAAAAGGTTCCTCCCTCATAAGAAGAAACAGACCTGGGAATATGATTCACCATCAGAGGGGAAAAATTTTTCAATTCTGAGCGAATCTCTGTGAACAATGGGAGTCGAGAGAGGAGAGAGCAGCTTCTCAAAAGAGGAGAAAGAGAGTAATGGTCAGGAGCACAGGGGAATCTGGAGGAAAAAGTCGAGACCATCACATGAAGGGGAACTGTGGAGAAAGGTTTGAGTTAATGGGAATTGAAGGGGTAGTTGAATTCCAATCTGCAGGAGTAAATTCAAGTTGTAACTCGAATTTGATTTCGAGTTGAGGCTGCCGAACGCCAACTTAGGCCGAGCTCACAATTTGAGTTGGGCTGATTCGAGCCCTATCCACAAAACGAACACCCCCTAAATTAATCAAATCCCATCTTAGTATTTCTCTTGATTTTGTTTATGTAGTACAAATTTTTTCAACTTCTGCTTTATTTGCCTTGGAGCTTGTTTGTAATACAAATTTCTCTTTGAAAAACTTATGCAAAATTTAAGAGAGAAAATCCCAAATTGAAAAAGAAATTAAACTGTTCCTCTTCAAAATCTCTATATAAAGGGGTTGAGGTTGCCTTTTTAAGTTGAGAGTCCGTTTAGTTTACTGATTTCATTTTTACTTCGAGTTAAGATGTGATTTTATGTGAGAGCCTTTTACTGTAGTAAAAAAGTTAGATATGACTATTTATGAGAGCTTTTTACGGTAATAAAACTCAAATTCTAAACTCAAATCAGTGAAATGAATAAGACATCAGTTTGCTTAAATTAGACCTCCTCATGGGTTTAAATGAACAATAAAGAGAGTAAGTAATATGAGATGGAGACTATTCAAAAATAAGGGCAATATCATCCTTTTAAATGGTTTGAGAGAAAGCGGTATTAGATAAATAATTAGACCTTAAAAATGATATTGATGAATAACCAAACGTTGAAGCCGCTAGATCTTTCCATACGCCGTCTCCTTCTGGGTAAAGCATCCAATGCAAGAGAGGGGGCTTGAGAATTCTGCTCGTGCTTCAAAATTCCAATCAGAAAATATCAAACTTTCTTTTGCTTTTTTTTTTCTTTTTTCTTTTTTTTGCTCTTTTAGCGTGAGGGAAGCCAAATGCAGGTACAATACTCTGAAAAATTCTAAATAGCCTATGATATAAGAAGTAATTGGTATTGGTAAATGATCAATTTATTCATTTCACATATTTAAGTTTTTAATTCAAATTGAGATTTAATATTTTTTAAAAATTTTTTACTGTAATAAAAAAAATTATATATGATATTTTTTAAAAAAATTTTATTATAAAAATTTAAAATTTAAAATTCAAATGGGTGAAATAAATAAAATAATTATAATTTCTCATTTTGATCCCACGTGTCCTTTCCATTGACCACCAATATATGATGCAAGGTTGCACGGAATGGCGTATAGGATCAATTACTCCTCCCTCCCTGCTTTTTGGCCAGAGGCCGAATATTGACGGATTTAGCATTTGAATTCAGTAGGGCACATTTAAGAATAAAAATTATAGCAAAATCAAGAAAAAGTTGGCCAGGGAGACGGATCTAGGATTTGAATTCACTAGGGCACAATTAAGAATAAAAATATAGTAAAATCAAGTAAACGTTATTATTTGATGATGTCTTTCTAGCGACAAGTTTTAAAAATTTAGCCATGAAAATTTCATCGTTAAAAGAAAATATTTTTTTGCTATAATTTTTTTTTTTACTTTTAGTGACAATTTTTTTAATAACATGATGATTTTTAGCGACGAAAAATATCATCGTTAAAGATTCTTTTTCTTCTAGTGTTTGTGAAAGTTGGAGAAGAAAAAAATAGAGAGTGAATAAAAGAAAAGAAAAATTAAGGATGAACAGAGAATGAAGGAATAAATAAATAGGAAAAATAAAAATAATAGTTTAAAATAAAATAAAAAGGAGAGAAAAGGTTTTGCATGTGAGCAAAATTAAAAAAAAAAAAAAAGTATTGTTTAAAAATGAAAGGAACATGGAGTGAAAATTACCTGGGACTTTGACACGTAGATCTAAATACAAGCCCATGATATACACTCCTTAAAATGTGGACTAATCAATATTAAAGGGGCACAACACAAAAACTGAATTAAATTAGCTCTTGTGTTATATTAGTATAACGAATTTTGATTTTTGCAATGGGGGCATGTGCCCCTATTGGTCCTTAACTGCCTCCATGAAAGGAGGTGATAGAGAGGACGGTACCCACAACACATCCAAGCTTATTGGGCATCAAGGTGTACCAATATGGTGCCGTGGAATTCGAAGAGGAGAGTTCAAAGAGGACTTTCAAGGTGAACGGGTAAAGACTCGGGCACTATTGGGGAGGGAACTCAAGTGTTTTATTCTCATTTTCGTTGTAGAACTTCTTATACTTCTTCAAGTCCATGTCAAGTTGATTGAGTTCTTCATCTTCAGTGTTTGGCTCATTGGCTTCACCTTCTTAGATTGAAGCCCTCAATGCTATTCCCTTCTTCTTCTTCTTGTCTTCCTCTTCTTTATCTTTCTTGCGAGAAAGCTCATAAGTCATCAAGAATCCAATCAACTCGTCAAGTGAAATTATTGAGAGATTCTTCATCTCTTTTAAAGTGGCTCTCTTGACATTCCAAGACTTTAGTAGGGATCGTACAATTTTGCTCACCAATTCACTTTCCTTGAAAGGTCTATCAAGAGAGTTCAAACCATTAATAATATCGGTGAATTTAATGTACATAGAAGTAATAGATTTATTATCATTCATTTCAAACATCTCATAAGCACGAATAAGATGATTAATCTTAGTCTCCTTAACGTGGTTGGTTTCCTCATGAACTATTTCTAGTGTGTGCCATATAGCTTGTGCGGACTTTTCCCCTTTGTCTGATTCCATCAGGTTTTTTAACAGAAATACATATAAATTTCTCATGAAATTTGCTATTTGTGTCAACATGCCCAATGAACTTCAAAATGTACCTATTGTGTCCTCCAAATTATGAAATGTCTTTCATCTTTCCCCATCCATTTTGATTTTGCCAATTCTTTTAAACAAAAATATTGATATGACCATTAAATTATTGATTAGGTATTGATATTTGGGGTTTATTGAATGTGTTTCCCTCTAAAAACATTAGTTAGGCACCAATTTTCAAAACATAAAGAAGAAAAAAAATGAAGAACAAATCTGTGCAAAATAATGAGTTTGTTAATTTTTTAGATTTTTTTTCTATTTTTTGTTGGAATGGGTATTTTAAATTAATAGGTTTCTTAATATAAAGGATAGATTTTTCCTTGAATTTTGTATTATGTATTTGTCTTTTTTTTTTATGGTAATATTTTTCCTTTTAAGTTTTGTTAAGTTAATGGATTTCTTAAAGTCTGTATTGAATTCTCTCTCAAAAAAAAAAAAAAAAAAAAAAAAAAAAAAACAAAACCCTAAGGGTTT